ATGACCCACAAATGTGACATATACTTTGATGATTAGGGAATGTTTACCAGCTAACCATGAGACTGTATATTCAACATACGGATCAAGTTGTGACCACTCAGTGCAGTGACTAAAGTGTCTGTTTTACCATTTGGGGCAATACATGAATATATTATAAATTTACAAACGTTCCATGAACAAATAAATTTGGCAAATGCTAGTATATATGTCAAAACCTGAAATACGGATTGAAATAACTAAGAGAAAATGTTGGGATGATGTCTTTACTAGAGAATTTAGTAACTTATATTACTGAAAACAACTTGTCAGAGCAGACTGTTACAGGACATTTGCCTTTTATAATAGTGCAACTCTAAGAAAAATTATTCAGAATGAATATTACTCCTTAATCATCTAATCCCAAAAAAAATCTGTTGTAACACGGTACACAGATCAATTAATCTAGATATATCAGGGACATTTCAGCAGGAAACAAAGAGCATACTCAAACTCGAAAACTTGATGGCAGTAATTCCAAGAACTTCACAAAGACATGGGATGGGCAGGACACGGGACCAACAGGAGACAGTCTAGTGCCCCAGAGCTAGCAATACTGGGAAGCGGCACCCAGCCTGTGCTCTGAGGGGCAAGGAAGGGGGAGGGGTAGTTAACCAAAGCCCAGAGATGGTAACTATGCAGATGGCCATCTGGGAGAAGCTACGGCCTTCGACAGGCGGTGCCATCAACCCTCAGTGACCTCACAGGGAGGAAGGTAAGGAAATAAATACCCGAAACCTACACAACGCCTTCCCATCCCTCTCACTGCCTACCCCAATCAGAACCAAAAGGCAAGGGAGCCTGTCAATAGTGTTCATAAAAGCCAGGTTTCTGGGGCACAGGACAAGGTGAGGAAGAGTGGAGAGTGGACCTGCCAAGCAAACAGCCACCTGATGTGCATTTCAGCTTTTCCTCCTTCTCGTCTTTACAGACAAGAATGCCCAAGACGGGAACCTTTTCAAGAGAGGTCTTTAAATGACTCAATTATAAAGTCTCTCAATAACCAAGAGCTTACTATAATCTGTATAAAAGAAGCTTTACCCGAATCTGGGCCAAAGGTTACATCTGTATTTGGCAAACAAACAAAGTTCTTGAAGTTACTAACACCATTTTAAAATCTAACCCCAGATTTGAGGCTAGCTAATAAACTATACAACTTTTCTTTGATCTGCATGGTGAAAAAACCCTCCCTGTGGTGTGTTTAATTTTTGTGAGGAAGAGAACACTTTTTTTTTTTAAAGATTTTATTTATTTATTTGAGAGAGAGAGAATGAGATAGAGAAAGCATGAGAGGGGGAGGGGTCAGAGGGAGAAGCAGACTCCCCGCTGAGCAGGGAGCCCGATGCGGGACTTGATCCCAGGATTCCAGGATCATGACCTGAGCCGAAGAGGCAGTTGCTTAACCAACTGAGCCACCCAGGCGCCCGCAAGAGAACACTTCAAACAACTTTCACGGTTTAAATTCTATAGAGGTTTGCGTAAAACCCAAAGATGAAATCATGGTACAATAAAATAGCCCCTTGAATTGTTTTCAACCATATTTCCTAACACAGATATTTCTCACCAGGATTTCTAAATAATTATTCCATACATCCAAGATTCCATTAAATGACGTCCAAAAACAGGCAAAATTAACCTATAGGTTAACTTTTGATGGCAAGAGGACTTGGGCTGGGAGAAGGCAGGAACAAACTTCTGGGGTGCTGTTAGAAGCATTCTGTATCTAGATGTTGTCTTCTGTCTTGGTAAATTATGACGCATACCAAGAATCACTGGGCTGTACAATGAAGAAGGAGTACACCTCACACACCCACTGCCTCTTAGAGGTCTACTGTATCTCAATTTAATAAGACAGTTACCCTATTGAAGGACTTCCATGATTACCTACTCAGCCAATATCTTAAGGCAGAAAATGTGTGGGTCAGGCAGTTGCCAGAGGGCAGCAAACTAGGGTCCACAGGCCACGCGCTTCTTTCCTAAGTGGAGCTTTCCTGGAACGCAGCCATCAGCTGCTTTCACACCCCAGCTGTGGGGTCCAAGAGGTGCAAAAGACACCTGGGAAACGCAAAGCCTCAAGTATTTTCTATCTTACCCTTTAAGACAAGTTTGTCAACCCCTGACTTAATCTTCAAATAATATATTTAACAGGAGGAGGACTCAAAAGACAGCAAATTACTCCGTTCATCGCCATCAAGAATTTCATAAAACTCTCACGGGGGGATGGCAGGTTCTTTGGCCTTAAGCTGATCAGCACCACAGGTTTATGTTAAAACATAAAAAAAACCCAACATTTTATTTGTCCTTCCACAATGCTAACTTAATTTGGTGCCACTGTTTTAAAAATAGAATCATACTTTTTTTTTAGAAAAAATTAAGATATTTGGCATATTAAAAAAAAAGGTGGAAGATGGAGCAACACTGACCCCTATCCCTCCAAGGGAACAACGAGCTGAAGTGACTCCAGCACCAGTGAGGGTTAAACACTAGCCTCCACCATCCCCTGTTATGAAAGAGTTGAGACAAAATGAAATACTGCTTTGATTTTGCCTATATGAAAGTAGGAAAACAAAAGACAGAGGGTCAAGTGTTTCTTACCACTCAGCTCACTTACTACTGTCATGGGCATGTGAGTTTGCAACCTTAGGTTTAAGCAACGGCCTCAAGGGAAAATGGCAGAGCAGAATCAAAGATATCCAAGGAGCAAAAAGGGCAAGAGTTAACGTGATGCTTGCAAACATCAAGTGACAGGGATCTCCCTCACATCTTCCCAGTGGCCCTACTACTGTCTCAGGGCACTTCTGTTAAAAAGCTTTGTCCTATTTTTGCAACCTCTTGTGAGTCTATCTATAATTATTCTAAAAATAAACGTTTAATAAAAAGAAAACTGTTGTTTCCCTACACTGATTAAAAATGTGTCTTCCTTCCTATACCTTAACTGATCCTTAACTATAGAACAAATTTACTCCCTTTCCTGCCAGAAAGTTCCCCCATTATCTACAGCTCTCTTGCCCAGATCCCCAACAGTCTCCTTTCTCAAAGAACTACAAAAGTAACAAGACTTTCACATTTCTTGTCCTATACAATATTCATTCAATCAGCAAATATTTATGGAGCACCCACCTCTGAGTAAGGTACTGTTCTAGACTCTGGGTATATAACAGTGACCTATGTTCTTACCTTGTGGAACCTACAGTTAGATTACTATGTCTAATAATGTAGCATAAGCTACCATTAGACTCTGTAGCAGCCATATCATACTATCAATTTTATTGCATGTATAGCTTACTAAATTCCCTAATCCTTTCTCATATATACACTGCTCAGACTGTATAGTCAAGCAAGCAGGTCACTGGATCCAAATTTTTTTTATGGTCATCCTTGCTAAATATTGTATTTTTAGAATCTGTTCTTTCCTTCAGTCTGTCAAGAACTTTTGGAATGCCAATGTCTTTTCCACCTTAACACACACCCTACCCTTGTCCATAAATCTGATAAATAAACCTTTCTGTAGAGTCAACCAAATCAGTCATTAAAATGTTTAACAGAACAATATTGAGGTAACTAAGAACCCCATGACATCTCACTAGCATCCACCTAGACATGGATCCATTATTCATTCCTCTGCGGCAACCCGCACTCAACCAGCTATGTGTCCACCTGACTGTATTATCAAATTAACATCTGTCCACAAGAAAATTATTGGGTTTAAGTCAAACACCCTCCTAAAGGTTAGTTACTTACCAATTTTCCCTAATCATCTTGGGGGGAAAAGTAGGATTTTTTTTAAATGGGAAGGGAACAGTTAAAAAGGAAGACCAATGGAAGAAGAACAGGTCATTATACAGCTTCCAAAAATAAATCGGAAATCTTTAAAAATGTTAGATATATTTTTAAAAAGAAAATCAGTTTGAGGGGAAGTGAAAATCATGCCATTCCTGAAAAGCAAAAACCTGTTTTTGAGACAATTTATGTTGTTATATGGACTTTTACAGACACACTGGCTGATTTCCCTACCACCCCAACACCCCGCCGAAATAAATCTTTTGCCTTCAATACAGTCACCAGTGGTTATTAAAAAAACGGAAAGGTCTTTGAATTTCAACAAGTATATCTGAACTCTATAAGTTCTACAATTCATATTAGGGAGTCAAGCTGAACTATTTGAAAATGCTAATATGTATGAATAAGGCATAAAGCATGATGCACAAGTTAATCTTCAGCACTTGGGATTGAAATCACATAACAAGATAATTCATGAATATGGTAATAATTGCTCTCTGGCACAAAACCTGAAAGCTCGTTATGCATTCTAAGCAAATTTTACATTTTAAGTAAACCTCCTGAGTATCATCTTCAAACTTTAGAATTAACATCCGGCACAAGTCATTGGACACAATCTGGGATTTTTGACAATTTGGCAAAAGTGGCATTAACAGTTGACCCCACTGAGAAAAGTTTTACCCAACAACACAAACAAGTTTATGTGAGGCACAGAGGACCATAAGAAAATAAACTTAACCCTTTAGCCCTGTTTGTGTCAAGAAGGGTCATTAAATGTTACTGAAAAGTAATTATATTCATTAAAGCCAGATTTTTACTACTCAGATCTTCTTTTTAACCCAGATGTTATATCTATCTGGAAAATAACAAAATGAGATTTACTGCTAAATAGTCTAAACTTGTCCTTCTTCACCAAACTTCCAAAGCCAACTGAAATAGCATTATTTCAATGCTGAGTTAATTAAAGCACAACGCCTCACCCTGTCTTGTGTCATATATGAAACTTACAAGGTTTCTAATTTTATTCTGTGAAGAGGTCTTAAACATAAGTACTTAAAAGTGGACTTGTGTCCTATCATACTACATCCAATTTGCTATAATTCTTCTCCTGCTCTCAAAATTGACAGTTTGGGAATTGTAGAATGTTAACCTCCAGAGCAATTCTTTCCCTCCCAATTGCTTACCTGAATATATTTCCGCTGTGTTTCATCATTTAAAACATGTGCAACATGCTTAGAAAAAATCTTTTCTCTGCCAGTTCTGGCATGGATACCAACCATGGTGACACCTATGGGCCAAGGGGCATTTCCAATGGCCATCTGAAGATAAGCATCATTAGCCTAAAAAGAAAGTTTAAGAGATTAGAAAAGCAAAAATACTGGGTTGGTCCCAATTTGTGAAGTATTTCACAGCCCTTTATGACATAATTTTCATCCATCTCTTGAGCATGTTGAGAGTATTACCATTCCCATTATTCAAACAAAAGAAATTAAAATATGAGGTGATGGACTGCCCTGCCCAGGTCCATGGAAAACCAGAAACCAAAGCTAATCCTGTGAGTAAAAAGACAAACATTCCTTTGCAGCCTTTGTGCACTGGCAACTAATACATTTCAGATCTGGAATTACCAGGTAGGTAACTTGATGCGCTGACAGAAACTCTAGTTCGGGTCTCCTCTAGACCCAGTCTTCTCTGCAGGTGGTCACACGCTGAAGATGGAGGCTAATTGGTTTTTCAGAATCCAACCTGCAACTATGTGTGCACAGCCCTGCAGGCCTCTGAAAGCAGTGGGGGCTCTGTGAGCTGGGACTATCATATAGGGTCCACAGCTGAGGTGTAAACAGAGATTAAATACTAACCCTCGAGCCGAATAGTTACAGGGTGAGATCGTTTCACTTTGGCCACTCTACAACTCCCACCTGCCAAGAACGTTAAAAGAAAAGCTACAGAATGTAAGGATAGAACCCGATGAAGACAAATGGCTCTTTTTCTAAACCAAGCCTAGCTACCTAGGAGGAAAAAAAATAAAATAGAAATGAAGTAAATTCTGAAACACCCCTAGGGTTTCAGGGAGGTTCATACAGTCAGGTCTCGAGATTTTAGTTTTGAAAACCAAAGACCTATGTGATTGATGTGCAGAGTTGATTTTAAAAATCCGTATTACAAATAGGCTAACTGGAAGATCATTTCTACCCTGAAGACAAATTTGAATTTGCCCTACTCAGTTTTATAAAATTTAATTTTCAAGAACATGTTACACACTTTTATCACACAGATTCTGACTTGAATCACTTTTCACACTGGATATTAACTGATAAAATGTCCAATATTTAGTTCCCCCAAATTTCTAAAGAAAGCTGTCCAAATAGGTTATTAAAGTTTCTTGGTTCTTCAGCAGTTTACACAAAATAAACTTTCACATTCCTCTCATATGAAAATGCAAAAAGTAACAAGAGGGAAGGCATGCTCACTAGTTGGCAAGTGATTTGATTTCTTTCTGCAGTGACGGTGACCTTATCCATCTATTCCAAGGCAACTGTCCTTACTAAGTACCATGCAACTACTAGAAACTATAAAGGAATAAAATTTATAGGCACAAAACAAAAACATTTCCTTTGCTAAAACAAACTGGCTCTCCAACAGAGGGAGTAAAATCACTACGTTCGCCTCATTTGCCCGAGGCTCCAGCCCCCACACGTGCTAGCCCACCTTCTGCTTGAGTACAGAAACTCCAAGCGCAGGAGTAAGCACTGGCACCCCCACTTTTCTGCTAGAGCCCCACGTACTACTCTGGAATGGTCAGCAAAACTGTTGGCCGAAACTCCCTCCTCTTCACTCCTGAGAGGCACTGCCACTAGAAGCTTCCCTCTTGAGACTCTGCTGATGGGCCAGACGCAAGGGCACATTTCCAATCCCCACTACTGGTACAGCAGGCATTCTCTTTACGTTCCCTGCACCGACTGACAGCCTCCCACTCCCCTTTCTGAACTCCACTCCAGGAGCGCTGGGCCACGGGGAGCTCCTTCCTCCTGCCACCGCCTCCTCCTCAAGCCCATTCAGGAGCAAAGACACCGGGGCAAGGGGAAAAGTCTTCCCTAACAAGGGGTCTGCTATTGTTGCTGTTCTGAAATGGGAGGGATGAATTCTGGTGGCCTTACTTGGAACATTTTCTCATACAAGTATAAAGGGTGGTTAAATTCCATTGTATCGTTAGTACAACAGTTTATCTATATTACAGATTAAGTAGGCTTTTTATAGCTGGAGTGGGAAACTAATCTACATAACATTGTTTCTATGGGAAAATTTGTTCCAAGCCATAATCTTGAACAATCTTTGAAATTCAATCCCATTCATTAAATGAACATTGCCTAGATCCAGTTCACGCTCTGAAGAATCTTCACACCTACCTTAAAAATGACTGAAAAACCAATGTGGTCAGTAAAGTTTATTATCAATGCCTAATAATAAAGCTGACAATGTGAATTAGATAAAAGGTTTTGGGGTTTTTGGTTTTTTTTACTATAATTCATTTCACATTTATTCTTAAAGCTCCTATGTAAAATACTCCCACACCAAATGAAGGTATTATGCACACACAACCTAGATAAGCTCATAACCATGATACTGATGCCCAACATGGTAATGTACCTTTACATATTCTCTCTGCAACATGAATTTAATAATATCTGTTATGGATTCTTTAATATCAGCAGGAAGATTCTGGAAAAGAAAAAAAAAGCGTTAACTATTTTTGGAAGCTACTGTGTATAATTACAGACTGCCATTTACTCAAACTTTATATATTCTTTTTTTTAAAAAATCAGTTATGTAAAAGCATTTTTCGAGGAACCTTACCCTTTTCCGTAGCTTTCTGAAAAGGGGTCTGAGATAGGACTCAGTCTGTTTTTGAGTAGCACTGTTCAGTTTGCCCTGCACACTGCGCTTCACATAATCTTCTCTGGCATTCAGTTCTTTAGCCCAAACACCAAGAAGAAACTGTTGAAAGAATGGGTAAATTTAGACTACGATGCCACCCAGTGGTTCAAAAGGTTTAAAAGTTCTCTAACACACAAACAATATATTATCATATTTAGAGTAAATTTTTTTCTAATCAAAATAGCATCAATATCTAATCAATGAACTATTTCTGCTTATTTTGTCATACACAACACATATTTTGTAGTGCTTTTGGCAAGTCACAAACTTCCCTATTCTATATATGTATGTATTCCTAGCTCAAAGATAATCAATTTCCCCCTAACAAGAACTATCAAATTTCAAATTTCATAGGTAACTTTGACAGAAATAAACTTTTACTCGTATTTCTACTAAAATTCAACCCACCTACACTTATTTGCCATAATACCGTATGTGCTGTGATAATTAATCTTCCAAGTATGATGTTATAATACAGGCATACCCCATGGACACTACGGGATTGGTTCCACACCACCACATTAATAAAGCGAGTATCACAATAAAGTGAGTCAAGTGAATTTTTTAGTTTCCTAACGCATATAAAGTTATGTTTACACTATAATGTAGTCTATTAAGCATAGGATAACATTACATCAAAAAAAAAAAAAAAGAACCAATACATATACCTTAATTAAAAAATACATTATTGCTGGGGTGCCTGGGTGGCCCAGTCGGTTAAGCATCCGACTCCTCTGATTTCTGTTCTCAGGGTCATGAGAGTGAGCCCCCGCGTCAGGATCTGTGCTGGGCATGGAGCCTGCTTGAGATTCTCTTCCTCTCCCCCTCCCCCCTTAAAATTTAAATACGTTATTGCTAGAACAGGCTCATCATCATCTGAGCTTTCATGTCCTAATCACTGATCACAATTAACCATGACAAATATAGTAACAAAGAAAAAGTTTGAAATATTGCGAGAATCACCAAAATGTGACAGAGATACAAGGTGAACAAATTCTATTGGAAAAACAGTGCCGATACACTTGCTCCACACATGGCTGCCACAAACCATCCATTTGTAAAAACTACAACAACAACAAAACCCCCAAAACAACAACAAAAAACCACCGAAGAAAACCGCATTATCTGCAAAGCACAATAAAACCAAGCACTATAAAATGGGGTACGCCTCTATTTGGACTTTCTGCTTTTGTAGTAGAGATGATGATTTAGTTAAATATTCCCAATAAAGCACCTGACAAAGGAGAAAGAAGGAAAACAAAGAACAAAAATAAAGAAACTATAACCCCTCCACCCAGCCCTGGAAAGCCACCCTAGTGCCCTTGGGTTTAAATGCATCAAGAACATGGTTTCTAGAGGCAGGTACACAGGGAAGGTGGCGGAGGACATACCCCCCTAGTGGCGTTACCTGTGGGTAGCCTCTATAAAGAGAGGCTGTCACTCAGAAAGGAAAATTCTAGTTCACACTAGTTCCCATGCCTATCTAATTCCATGCCATATCCTCAACAGACTGAGAATCTTGACGACTAATATGTTGTATTTAAATTAATACAAGTAAAAGCACTTCTTGCGTTTTAATCTCTTGGCCTGAACACAAATAGTTTGTGAATAAATGCTAAAATGAATCTGGCATTTACACACACTCTACCTAAACCAGTAAAGTAAGAAATGCTGAGGAGAAAGATGGATTGAGCTCATCATAGCAGGAATATGCAGCTATCTGTAGAACTGAGAAAATGAACAGTCTCTGAAAGGTTGCTGATGGGTTTGCTTTTTTTCACTGCCAAGGTCTTCCCACCTCCTTCCTCTCTTTACTGTCATCACCACTCATAATAGCTTTTGGAACACTCCCCTCACTGCACTCCCTCCTGGAGTGTTTTTAAAAAAAAATGTTTTACTCCCCCAACTTCTTGTTCATTCCACTGCTTTGATTCTGCGTGTTTACATTAACAAGTCAGTTTTAAAGTGCAGCAGTGAAGTAAATATACATCTCCTTTGATTAACCTCTATATCCCAGTGCACAGCAATATCATAAACTGTATACGTGCAAAACATGTTTACTGAGGGATTCCCTTTCCAGTCCTTAACCCTTAAATCATCCAAAAATTCAACAACAGTTTTTAACCAACCCAAATGTCCTTTCCTAGCCTAAAAACACATACCTTAAGGAACTTGGTAATGATATCCATGTCCTTATGATCATCGCCTTTTCCTAAAGATTCTCCCAATGCCTGCAGAAAAACAATGCTTCTGTTCATTAGTAAAGACCAAAAGCTGAACAGATGTTCTCAACACCAGTATGAACATGGACCTTTATTACATATACTAATTTCTATTTTTAAAAAACCTAAAGGAATTTCTAGGTAAGTTAAAAAAACCAAGAAAACACCGATTTGTCATTGAAATTTAGAGAGCAAGGTATCATTTATAAATCAAAAGACAAAAAAAGGGGGGCTTAGGGAACTAATGGGTAGATTTCTTTTTAAAGGAACAGAAACGTTCTAGAATTAGGTTGTGATGATGGCTGCATCAACCTGCGAATATACTAAAAACAAGTGAATTGCATATTTTAAATGGGTAAGCTGTAAAGTATGTAAATATCTCAATAAAGCTATTTAAGAAAAAAGAAAGCCCAGAAATGGTTGCTCACACTATTTCTGTCAAATTTAGGGTCCAAAGAAAGGTGCTGGGGGTGGTAGGAGGAGAGGCACAATTAAAACAACTATGATCTCATGAAGAATGCAGCCAGAAATGAAAAGAAAAGTAAGTTTATGTTTATTAAGCAGTAGAAGCTTTCAACTAAGCCATAATTTCTGCTTGAGCTAGATATTTAGATAGCACAACACAGCTTTTTAATTAGGATTACATGTATCACTCCACATTCAACACGTTGGCAAAAATTAAAAAGCAAGATACTGCCAAGTGTTGGCAGGGCTGTGGGAGTAAAAGGCTTGCACACCCTTCTGATGGGGGTGTAGACTGGTACAGCCATTCCAGAGAGCAACGTGACAGAACCTGGACAAGTTACACATATAAAAATCCAGCCATCCTGCTTCTGAGTCCACAGGGGTCACATACAAGACTATTCATCACAAAGCTGTCTGTAGTAATAGGGAGCTGGGAGCAATCCAGCTCTCATTACAAGGCAACAAAAAAGTAAAAGGCAGTGAATGCCACAAAATATGAAATGCTACGCAGGAGTTAAAAATCAATGGTTCAGATATACATAAAGCATCAAGGATGGATCTTAAATACAGTTCAAAGTGGAAAAAAGAAATGTAAAAAAAAAAAATTCACAGTATAGTATCATTTATGTATATTAAAAACACAAGCATATAAAATACTACTGGTTTTACAAGACCACCAACAAATAAGAGGATGCACATCAAATATATCAGAATGTGAGTGGAGAATGAGTAAAGAAGGAGTGAATGGGGCGCCTGGGTGGCTCAGTCGTTAAGCGTCTGCCCTCAGCCCAGGTCATGATCCCAGGGTCCTGGGATCGAGCCCCACATCGGGGTCCCTCCTTGGCGGGAAGCCTGCTTCTCCCACTCCCACTCCCCCTGCTTGTGTTCCCTCTCTCACTGTGTCTCTCTCTGTCAAATAAATAAATAAAATCTTTTAAAAAAAAAAAAGGGAGTGAATAAATAAAAGCACAAAATTTAAAAAAAAAAAAAAAAAAAGGCCTTTGTAATGACCAGACCATAGTAGTGTGCTCTGAACTGAACAATATGATGAACTCAAGCATCTGCCCCAGAGAATGAAGGGATATGATGGGGTAATGAGATCAGGTGGGTGTAAAGATTACCTCTAACTCTTCAATTGTGGTGTTTTCTTCATGAACTTTCAAATCATTCTGTGTGTCTTCCTCTCCAGGTTCCTGACCACCCACAAGCTCATTGAGGTACTGCTGGTCGATCTTATCCAAAGCTGCTTTCAGATCATTCCTCAATCCCTGAGAAAGGTGAAAAAATACATACATTATGGAATTTCACTGATGTTTCCCTTTTGATTTTTCACTACTAATAAGTACAATTCATTTTTTTTCCTCCACAGGAGTTAATAAGAGCTTAGTAAAACTAGAGACTCTAAGATTTCAATTTATTACGCAGCTATCATCATTGCCCAAAGTTAATTATAATGAACATATTTAAATTTTAAAGAATGTATGCACAATAGCTACTCTGGCCAGAAAAATAAAACATATGTGTTGACCAATCCAAATGAGAATATTCATAAATGCTGAAATTTTCTAATGAGGTCTAGCGTAAGTGAGCAGGTCTCCACTAGAGCCTTCAACCCATTTTCCCAGTTTATTTAAAATGTCTAACCTCACTGTAACTACTCTGAATTCCCTTAACATTCAGCAGTATCAATAATATGAAACTAGTGTCTCATCTATATCCTAGGCTTTCACTAGGTTTCTCATAAACCAGCAAATTCCACCATCTATTCATACCCAGTTTGTGACCATTTGGTAAAAATAGAAGAAACCTTAAAGCTGGACCCATACCTTACACCACATACAAAAACTAACTCAAAATGAATCAAAGATGTACATTTAATAGCTAAAACTATAAAACTCCCAGAAGACAACACATGGGAAAAGCTTCATGATATTGGATTTGGCAATCATTTCTTGGATACACCACCAAAGGCACAGGCAAAAAAAACCCCAAAATACAAAAGAACAAAATTGGACTTCATCAAAATTAAAAACTTTTCTGCAAAGATACTATCAATAGAATGAAAAGATCACCTGTGCAAGGGGAGAAATATTTGCAAGTCACTAATCTGATAAAGACTGATATCCAGAATATATAAAGAACTGCTACATGTAACAACAACAACAAAAAACCACTCGCTAAAAATGCGCAAAGGTCTTGAATAGAAGACCACACATAAAAGGCCAATAAGCAAACAAAAAGATGCTTAACATCACTAGTCATTAGGGAAATGCAAATCAAAACCACAATAAGGGGGCGCCTGGGTGGCTCAGTCAGTTAAGCATCTGCCTTTGACTCAGGTCATGACTGAGCTCCGCATCGAGCTTCCGGCTTAGCGGGAAGTCTGCTTCTCCCTCTCCCTCTGCCCCTTCCCGCTGCTCGTGCTCTCTCTCGTGCTCTCTCACTCAAATAAATAAAACCTTTAAAAAAAAAAATACACACAATAAGATACCACTTCAAATCCATCAGGATGGCTATGATCAAAGATAGTAGTAGTAGTTAAGTGTTGGCTAGGATGTGGAGAAATGGAACCCTTCATTGCTGGAAATGTAAAATGGTGCAGCTGCTGTGGAAAATGTATGGCAATCACCTCAAAAACTTACACAAAGTCACACCAAGACACATTCTAATTAAAATATCAAAAGGTAAAGACAAGGAGAGACTATTAAAAGCAGCAAAATAAAAACCATTTGTTGTGTACATAAGACTATTAGCAGATTTTTCAGCAGAAATTTTGCAGGACAAAGGGGGTAGAGCATAATATATTCAAAGTGCTGCAAGAAAAAACTTCAAAGCAAGAATACTCTACCTCACAAAGTCATCATTCAGAATTGGAAGAGAAATAGTCTCCCAGACAAGCAAAACTAAGTGAGTTCATTGCCACTAAACCAGCCTTAAAAGAAATGTTAAGGGGCCTTCTTTAAGCTCAGGAGGTTAATTAGTAATACTACAACATATGAAAGTATAAATCTCACTGGAATAGGTACATATACAGTAAAGGTAGTAGATTAATCACTTATGAAGACAAAGGTAGTAAAAATAACTAACTACAATCATTAGTTAAAGGATGCACAAGAAAAACATGTAAAATGTGACATCAAAAACCTAAGATGTGGCCAGGAGGAGTAAATATGGAGAGCTTTAGAGTGCATTCACACTTATGTTATCATCTTCACATATTTCCAATTATAAAATAAGTCACAGGAATGTAATGCACAGGATGGTGACCACAGTTAATGCCTACTTAAAAGTTAGTAAGAGTAGATCTTAAAAGTCCTCACCACAAGAAAAAAAAAATGTATGGTGACAGATATTAACTACACTTATTGTGGGGATCATTTCACAACATACACAAATATTAAATCACTAAGTTGTACATCTGAAACTAATATGTCAATTATACCTCATTTTAAAAAAAATTTACAAATGAGAGGGGCGCCTGGGTGGCTCAGTCATTAAGCTTCTGCCTTCAGCTCAGGTCCTGATCCCAGGGTCGTGGGATCGAGCCCCACATCGGGGTCCCTACTCGGCGGGAAGCCTGCCTCTCCCTCTCCCACTCCCCCTGCTTGGGTTCCCTCTCTCGCTGTGTCTCTGTCAAATAAATAAAATCTTAAAAAAAAAAATTTCCCGGGATCGAGTCCCACATCAGGCTCCCTGCTCGGCGGGGAGTCTGCTTCTCCCTCTGACCCTCCTCCCTCTCATGCTGTCTCTCATTCTCTCTCTC